GAAAAAAGTGCAAAGAAAAATGTTGAATAGATTTATTTATTTTATTTATAAAATTTATAAACTGCCCAACTTATCTCAAGGTAACTAAATAGATAAAGAAAAGAAACAGAAAAGAAAACTAAAGTAGAAAGAAGTGGCTTCTGATAATCTTTACAGCAGTTACAAATCAATTTATCATCTATCCTCCCACTTTAAAATTGCATCATGATTCTTCCTATATTTTATCCTTTCTAATCATCAATTCCATAAATCATCAGTTCATTTTTTTCCATTTTCAGCAAAAAAAAATCTACAAAGGGTTTTCAGTCATTAATAAATGTACTTGTCTTTTCCCTAATTAACAAGTCAATTTTGCCATTTCTGCAAATTTTATAATGTTAAGCTGCCATTCTTCCATTGTACCGTGTTTTCCCCAAAATAAGCCCTAGCATAATTTTTAGTGTGCACCTAATATAAGTCCTATTGTAAGGCGAGGCAGGTGGCGGGGGTGGAGCTGCCCCATGTGCCCCGCACCCACAAACCTCCCCAGAAAAAAGGCCACCCATGCCCTGTCACTTGTCTCACCTCACGGCAGTGGCACCAGCAGCAACAGCCCCATCCAGCAGGAGCCTGCAGGTGACGGGACAGGAGACCATTGGGGCTACCACCACAAGGTGAGGCAAGGCAGGTGGCAGGGCGTGGGTGGCCTGGCTGCAGGGGGCTCTAAGGTGCATGGGTTCAGGGCGCATGGGGCAGCTCCACCCCACACCTGCCTGGCTCACCTCATCCGGTGGTGCTGGCGCTAGCACACTGCATGGCCTCCTGCCCCATTGCAACTGTGAGCAACCAGACGGTGGGACAGAGTGGGCAAGCGGCCACGCTGCATGTCCGGCCTGGTGGTAGCAGTGCTCCCACTCACCTGTGCTGCGCAGCTTCGCAACCCCTGAGTGTGCTGGCCAAGGGGCCAGCGGGCTGCGGCTGCTGCCAGACACCTTCGGCCCCGACGTGCTCGCCACCCCCCTACATGGAAAAATAACACATACGAAAATAAGCCCTAATAGGTCTTTTGGACCAAAATATAAGATCCGGTCTTATTTTTGGGGAAACGGTAGATAGTTCCAAATCTTTACGCACATAATAATCTTGCTACAGTTACCATATATAACATTAATTTTCTATGAGATATATTAATATCCCTATTTCCAAAAGTTGTACTAGATAACCAAGTAAATGAGCAGACATCTTAAAGAATATCAGTGCTGAATACTAGCAGAACTTGAGAAGCTTCCATGGAGTGATCTAAGATGTGTCAGCATTATTTTCACATCACTCAAGGCAAGAAGCCAGATTTAAAATTAAATCAAATCGTATGTTCTTGGCTATAATCTATGGACTTACCCAACTAACTGTCACAATGATTCATGAACATCAGGAACATGATGAAGCAGCTGTTTCATGAGGTTTCCCCAGGTACTGATGGCACAGATTTCTGTTACCACAAATTTATTTAATCTTCTGATACATCATATCTCATATATTTCTCTTGGAAGCCAACGTGTAATCATTCAGATTTTCTCGCTTTCATTTGTATCTGCTTATAACTATCCTAAAATAGTAATTTCATTGCATAGCCTTATATTTAATTCAGTGGTTTTTAAAACCAAAAACTAGGATTGACAAAAGAAATCAGAGTGTCATTTTTGCTTTATTAATTAAAAACTAAGGAGGAGTGAAACCGCCCAAAATCAATTAAAGTTTATGGGAAGATTCAGCCTATCTTGTGGGAAACTGCCTACTTTTTAAACATACATTACTTAATCTTGTTTTGTAATAAATGTAAAAATAACTTCAGTTACTTCTGAGTTTTTCAATTTTGGGTCTCTTGGATGGACAGATTCTTATAAAAAACATTATTCCCCGAAGATGAATCTCTTTCATATACATACCTGAATACATATATCTTTCAACATAATGAGAAAATGGAAGTGACCTATTAATTGATATATAACTTATATCGATATTTCCTATCGATCCTCAACTTACAACCATTCATTTCATTACAAAGTTACAATGGCGCTGAAGAAAGCAATTCACAACCAGTCCTTGCACTGGCAACTTCATAGCATCTGCATGGTCATGTGATCAAAATTCAGGAGTTTGGCAACCAGCATATATTTACAATAGTTGCAGAACTCCGGGTCACATGATCACCTTTTGCAACCTTCCAGTCAGCTTTCAACAAGCAAGCTGAGGACTACCTGTATTGCACAACTCCAGCAAAATACAAATACAGATATTCCCAGACTTACTTTTGTTCATTCAGTGATGAAATTACAAACACACTGAGAAATGTGACTTACAACTGGTACCTCAAGTTTCAGCCGTTATAGCAACCCCATGGCCACCTGATCAAAATTTGGATGCTTGGCAGCTCTGCACTTACAACCACAGGAATGCTGTAACTCCACCCACCTATCTCCCCCCCAAAAAAAATCTATGTCCTTTTTATGAGGTAAGTCCAACTGGCTGCTGGCCTGGGCTTTGGCTGTGAAAAAGAAATACTAAAGACAGCCTTTCAACACCCCTTTTTGCCACACAGCTCCTGGGTGGAGCTGGAGCTGGCTTTGCGTTACGGAAAAAAAATGATAGGCAGTCCCTCAGCCATAGAGTCTTAAAATACAATCTTCCACTCCTTATCCAATTGGGAGTTTTATTCCTGCCAACCACGCAATTTGCATGGAAACCACTAAATAGATTTCTAGAGATGATCTCTTGATTCCAGAGGAAATCTGCTTGGTGGTTTTAACCTTCAGGGAGTCAAGCCAAAGCCAAGGAAGTTTCAGCAGTTGCTCTCTGTCGCTCTTTTCTTGGCTGCTGGTTAGAGGCAACCATGGGATTCTTCCCTTCTTGCAGGAAAGTGCTCAGGTGCTACGCATTGGGAGTTCTGCTGAAAAAGGGCATTTCCTTGCAAAGCACATAATTGCCAGGACATTTGGCATTTCCCACAGGATCGCTGCTTTACACACCACTGCGGAGGTTTCCCAGGCATTTGGCCCTTTATGGCAGGAGTGTGGCTGTTTTGTGCTGTACCCTGGAGCTTTATAGGCATTTGGCTCTTCCCGGGGCATGGCATGTTTCGTTGTGCTGCTGGGCTAGGCTGGGGCTGAGGCTTTTAGGGTTGGCTGTGGCTTCTTTCCCCAGCCTCCCTCTGTTCTCACCACATTACAGCACCCTAACTTGCATGCAGCCTGCCAAGGCCTTCCTCTACCCCTGAGACATTCCTATGTTCCTTATATGGGACTCCATCCTCTTAATGATCCAGCAAGGGGAATTGCTGGGATTGTGATTGGTAAGTGAAGCTGTCAGGTAACATCTCATTTAACAACTGCTAGTCCCAATGGTGATCATAAGTCGAGGAATACCCAAAAGATCAACTTGGAAATTACAGTGTTTGTCTGCTCATTACAATATCACTTAATAAAGTCTTGATCATTTGAATACTATAATTTGTCCTGAAAGGTATTATGTCTGTCATTTTGTATACATTTCACCTGAGTATCATATGACTCTTATTTGCAGGGTCTTTTGAATTTCACATAACAAAAAGATAAAAATCCACGATCATGAAAATGCCATGGTAGAAATACGCTTAAGTCCCAACACTGCTTGCACTTTAGTAAGCATTGATAAGGTTGGCATTTATGTCTGCTGATCTTTTGATGAATAGCAAATATCTTATGACATTTATATACACTGATTGGACATTATGTGTTCAATGTATACTTCTGAAATCAAGAAAATATAAATCTCCTACCATCTGTATAGTATTGTATTTTATGTTGTTATGATTGTTAAGGTTGTGTTAGTATTGTTTTGATGATTTATACTCTGGATTCAAGGATAGAATAAGATAAATAAAAAATGCTCTATTTTCATTTTTGCACTTTGTTTATAATAAGTTTGTTTAGGGATTAAAGGACAAGTTCAGAACCATGTACATCTCAATAGATTTTTAGAACTTGCGTTATCATATCTGGCCTCCACATGATCACATGATGACAGCAAATATCAATAATTCTTTGCCATAATTTAGTGCATATATGGATGCTTATACTCCATATATGTTGCCATTTTAATGACAATAAAAGAAAATGTAATCTAGTATATCAATATATTTAGAAACATTAGGTTGGGGAAGAGTGCTTTAACCTAGCTGATAATGATTATGTGAAAAAGCCATATAAATAAACAGTAGGATAAATTGAAATATTCCACATCTAGAAGCTGCAAACCAAGATTTTAAAAGTTAATGTGATGTCTGCTTTTCTATTTAATCAAAGAATTATTGCCAGATAGAAATAAAGTTTTTAACGTGTATAAGAGTTACATAGAAATAAAGTATAAGGCAAACTAGTACCTTAGGTTTCTTTAAATCTCTCATTAGGAACGTTTTAATTTCAATCTCAGGCAAGGCAAAAGCCAACCTCCAGAAATATTTCCTTGATTCTGTGTGCAGTAAGGGTGAAAATGGAATAGTGGGATAGACAGAAGGGGGAGAAGTAAAATATTCCAGAATGTGGAATGACAATTAACCTTATCCTGTCTACCTTCTTCCATTATCAGTACGCCACTAGAAAAGCAAGAATAACATCACAAGCCAGAAATAGACAGCTGGAACGTAAAGTACCAATTCTTACCACATTTATGTTCTAATTTAAACATCAAATGGCTTTCTGTCCTCCTCAGAAAAGGAAAACCAGGCCAATTTTTCTAAGCACAACTATACCTAATTTGCAAGGGTCAGCACTGTATCTTCTGAGATGTTGGAAAAAAATATTTCCATCTGAGCCATCAATCTTTCTGTATTAGTGACCAACTCTGGATCTGTGCAACATGAATAGCTGGAATGACATGTTGTAAAAGCTCTAGCCATAGTAATCATCACAATGAGGAAAGAAGTTATGAAAACAAGCAGGAGCACAAACCTCAGACACCCAGACAGAGACAGAGTGAGAAAGTACCTGGAAAGTTGTGAGTGTGCCAGTCCCTGGGTTATACAGGCATCGCAGTGAGGGCATGCTGTCCGCCAGGCTGGAGCAGCCCAGCCAAAGAGACCGGGGCATAGAGCACTGCAGAGAAAGGACAACTATGAGATGGGACTGTATGAGACAGGATGGTACAGAATATAGAAATTTCTATCTCTGTACAGGTAGTCATCAACATATGACCACAATTGGAACTGGAATTTCGGTCATAAATTGTTGCGGTCATAAGTCAGTCAGACCTCATTTTTAATGGTGGTCGTTAAGTAAGTCACTGTGGTAGTTAAGAAATCCAGTTTCCCCATTGGGTGCTTTTTGCTGGAAATTGACAAAAAAGGTAGCAAACCACAACCCCGTGACTGCAGGAGACTGCAACTGGTCATGAATGTGAGCCAGTTGCCAAACACCCGAATTATAATCACACGATCATTGGGGGGGGGCTTGCAATGATCATAAGCATGAGTACAGGTCATAAGTCACTTTTTCCAAGGCTGACGTAATTTTGAACCATCAAAGTTAAACAATCAGTCATAAGTGAGGACTACCTGCAATGTAAGTTCTTAGCAAAATTACAAGTTACTGTTAAGAAACTGGAATAGCTTCCACACACCTACACATTAGTGACCTGCATGTTCCCCTTAGAGAAAAGCAGAAGGGAGGGCAAGGTAGGAAATACCACACTTCTTGCACACACAAATAAAGCTAATTAACTTTCTCATTAACATTTCATACTATTTTGTTTGCAAATGTATTCTAATTCAAAAGAGTCAATTCAATGCTTTTAGTGATCTCAATTACTTGTTCTTTTAACCCATTAACCAACTAATTAAAGCAAATATTATAAAACCTAACGTAAGTATAATCAAGCTAATTCATTGACTGATTTTTCCTTCATAGAAATTCACCTGACCCTTTCCCTGTGCATCTTAATCATGGCTAGTTTTAATCATGGCAATACCTTAACTACTGTTAATATTTATCATCTATTTCTACCCAGAGTTGAAACAATTAGCAGTAAATAAAACACCAGTATCAGTATGCTGGAAATTGAGACCAGAGACAGAAAGGTAACATTTATATTTTATATAAATTCCTTTGCCTTTTCCCCAAAAAGGCTTTCTCTACCATTCATAACAATATACTTAGGTTAAATTAGTTACTAGTATAAAAGCACCTGATAAACCTTAGGGTGAACCTATCCATAACATTACACTGACCTAGGACATTTCCATCTCTATGATACTCCTGTACACATCTAAATTGTTACAAAAATTGTAGAGCTCAGCATGTGATAATTTGCTTATCTTTTGCTTTGAACTTTACCTGTTCTATGCATACAGTTACCATGAATTATAAAATATGTTTATGTGAACATGTGAATTCAGACAAATGCAGTTTACTCAGCAAACTAGATATACTACAAAATTTAAACTTAGTTTCAGTCCCCTCCTATTCATCTTGGAAGCTGGAGAAGTACCGGGACCTGAACAAAGAACTATAGAAAACGTAGAAAGCAAAGGCAAAGTGATCCCAGTGGTGATATAGAAGCACTCGGCGCTGGAGAGTGGCTCCATCAGATCCCAGGAAGAACATCAGAGCTCTCGGTCCAGAAGAGTGCAGTGTTAGGAACAGCTAAGATATAGCACTGAACCCTCCAACCCCCAGGCCTCAGGCAGAGGATCTGAGTCTGAGGAAGACACACACCACCCACAAGGATGAAAAGAGAATTTAAAGAAATATATCATTATAATAATATGCAACATTAAAAAGCAGAAATATTAGGCATGTTCACCATTATATATAAAAATGGAATAGAAATAATATAATAATTAAACAAAAAGGAAGAAAAGATGAATTAAAGACTTTGAAGAAATATATAACAGCTTTACTATTTAACCTGTATTAAATAGTAAAAGTTATTTGCCCTAATAAATGTTTATATTAATTTAGATACGGAAGTTTACAGAAAGAATCAAATGAAGGTCAATGGGAGCATCATGAATAAACCAGTTTTAGGCAAATCTGGCTTGGTGTTTTGTGCAAATTTAACTAAAACTCCTATTTGCTCTGCCTCTGGAATAGGTAGTTTCTAGCATCCAATTATCTTGCCTGAGGAATGGAAGAAGACTGATTGAAATATGATCACTCTCTGAAATGTAGGAGGAGAGCTATGTTAATCTGATACCCAAAAAATCAGGAGTCTGGTAACACTTTTTTCAATCAACCATTTTTATTTTTTTAAAGATTTTATCATTCTATTCATCTGATGAAATGAAGTGCAGATTATGAAAGCTTATACTAAATTTGTTAGTGAAATAAAAATATTATTAGCCTCTTTATTTTGGGGTCTTGGGCAAGTAGCATTGAAAGGTCACAGGATCTATCAAGTCCCATTTCTATGATTATACCCATCTTCCTTTTTCTAAATACTATCTTGTTCACCATGTCTAGATATTTTTTCAGTTGTGTCTGAAATTGCCACTCCCACCCTAAAGGTTGTCTCTCCGTCTTCCTTGATATTTGTCCTATAGCCCTTGATAACCCTTTGCCTCTGACTTCATTTCAGCATCTTTTGTGGAACAACATATTTTTATAACAGTTCCACACTAAAAAAACTTTTTCAAATTTTCAAAAACAAAAATTCTTAGGTTTTTTTAATCCCACTCATCATCTTACTTTCAGTAAATGAACTGTGTTCCAATTTTAATGCAAAAATGGAAAATATGTCTATTGAATTTATACTGATAAAATTGTCAGAAAAAATATTTTAATTACTACTCTCTTTTTCCTTCACTTCTCTGCCACTTTAGTACTAGTTTAGTCTCCTGTATGAGCTCCTATGCTCTAGAGTCTAGACTCAATGTTGAATAGATTTCATGTCTGTGACAGATCCATCCAGTCTACTGGATCCTCCCAAATAGACCAACTGTATACCAAAACATTAACATAAAGCCGTCTTGATCCCAGCCATTTATTCTGAGTAGTAGATCTGAACAGAACCTGTTTTTTCATTTTAAAAAAAATCCTTGCCTCTGGAACATTTCAATCCATAGTTTTATCTCATCACCATCAGAATTCCTGTAGAGATTGATCTCTATGTACCTTACAATGAACATACATTCCAATGACTTTCTCCTTTGTTAATAAACCTCTTCTTCTATTTCTCTCTGCTGAGTTCTAAGGGCTCATACAGCATGTATATAGCATATGGCATGAAGTGTTAATAATGTTTTATAATGCCTTGGTAAGGCCACACTTGGAATACTGCATCCACGATGTAAAAAAGATGTTGAGACTCTAGAAAGTGTACAGAGAAGAGCAACAAAGATGATTAGGGACTGAAGGCTAAAACATATAAAGAATTGTTGCTGGAATTGGGTATGTCTAGTTTAATGAAGAGAAGGACCAGGGGAGGTATGATAGCAGTGTTCCAATATCTCAGGGGTTACCACAAAGAAGAGGTAACCAAAGCACCTGAAGGCAGGACAAGAAGCAATGGATGGAAACTAATCAAAGAGAGAAGCAACCTAGAACTAAGGAGAAATTTCCTGACAGTTAGAACAAATAATCAGTGGAACAACCTGCCTCCAGAAGTTGTGAATGCTCCAATACTGGAAGTTTTTAATAAGAGATTGGACAACCATTTTGTGTGAAATGGTATAGGGTTTTCTGACTAAACAGGGAGTTGGACTAGAAGACCTCCAAGGTACCTTCCAACTCTGTTATTCTAATTCTAATTCTATTATATATCTTTAATAAAAGTGGCTAAATAGAATTTATTGCCTGCAGATCTTTTTTCTACTTCATTAATTTGTTAGTGCAGGGAAATATAATAATCAAGAAGTACACAAAAATATTTGAGATAAACCGAGGGAAAAAATGACTTGTGTGCTAGTTGACACCATGGATTACTTGCTAATTTAGATTGCCTCCCCCCTTTCTTCACTTTGAAATAAAATAGAAATAAATTGGTTATCACAATATTTTCATTAGAGTACAAAATGACACTAAGATACTAATAAAGGAGAATATTTGTAGCTCAGGGACAGCCATTTGTCTGAAATGGTACAGGGTTGTTGTTGTTGTTGTTGTTGTTGTTGTTATGTCACTTTTTATCCTAGAACTTTTTCCATCTATTGAATCTACTTTTCCAAATGTGTTCTGATATTTGACTTAAGTGCTCCTTGGTGCTCTCTCTACTCAATTCCAAACATCTCACATTTCTTTCCAATATCTCTGCACTTCATTCTTTCTTGCTACTTATGTCCTCAAAATAGCTCAACAGGCACAAATCTCTGGTTTTCTCCTTGATTTTTCTGTTCCCTCTGTCCTTGCCGAATCAGTCAGAAAATGTTTCTTCCTCTATAACATTCTCTCTACGATTCCTTTTAGTTCATTCTGTAATTTCTTTTTAAAAAAAGATTGGTCCATGCTCTGCACATTTTACTCTCTAATCTTCCTTTGCATTCATTCACCCTTCTCCAGCATTCTGCTTTCAAAATCACATACATATACTGTCCACATAATGTCCTTCCTTAATTCTAAATACTGGCATTTTATTCACTTCCAAATCCTAAACCAATTTCTTTAATTTTCCTTGAGTATCAGTATTTGTCCTGTGTCTGGCCTCTTTACTGTTAAATCTCCTTCAGCTGCCTGAACATTTCTTATTCCTACCACAGTGCCTTTTCTCCTGTTAGTTATCTAAACAATTACCACTCAGACTAATCCCCACTTTAGTTCTTCCACATTTATCCTAAAAACCTATGTTCTCTAACAGTTTCTTTCTATATCCTTATTTCCTCTTTAAGTGGTATTGGCTGGGAAGATAATAATTAAACTAATGAAGTGGCCTTTAGATTACCAAAGTTCATGCTGTAATACATTTTTCATCAATAGTCTACTATAGCTAACTCTGAAATAGTGCAAATGTAATGTAAACTGTGGGTGAACATCTATCTATCACATTTGCCTGTAACATGCTCCCAGAAACCAGTCTAGGGAATCTAACAAATAATTTTGACATTATAAATAAAATCCTAAGAAACACTAAAGTGCCTTAAAACTTCCGAATACAATTTATATAG